GTTCGATACGGATATTGACTGAGCTCACGGCGTGAGAAGCCTTGCCTCACGACGTGAGCAGGGTAATTTTCAAAATCTATATAAATCCTTGGTGTTTACGAATTTGAAGGAGACTTTTGGAGATTGAGAAGGTTAGAAGACGATTTCTGGAGGAGTTTAAGGCAGAGAAATCAAGCATTAACATCCAAGGAAGAAGAAGTGATCATAAAACGTTTACCTTTAGTTGGTACATGCAATCATGTTTTTATTTATTAAGTTTGTGTGTTTGAATTCAGCCATGAGTAGTTGAATCTAGCTACTTCTGTTTAGCTAGATGAAACTTCAACTCATGGTTTAGTTATTTAGTTATGGATTTTGCTAGTTGGTAAATTGCTTGTGTTTGATTGTTAATACCTAGCATGCTAATATTTGATACTTAAATTGATTGAAAGCATGTTTTTGTGTAGCTTAGTGAATATTGAATTGCATGAACTTGATACCTAGTAATTTAGTGACCATGAAATTATTAGAGCTAGGATCGAACCAATCTTAGATAAGTAATTAAAGTTATTAAATTTCGCTTTGCTGGAGAGCATATATTGTGACTATAATTGTGTTTATTTAATCACTCTTATATAGCTCCATTCAATATTCATAATTGATTATGTGTTAAATTAAGTATGACCATACATAGTTCTACATGAATTAGTTAAACATTAGTATATTTGGACTTAAATTGCTAATAATATAAATATCTGTAACCAACGTGAATTATCCATAATTAGTAGCTAACGATTGAGGAGAAGTGGATTCAAACTAAACAGAGGTGTTTTTAGTCATTGATTGAATTTAATAAATAGAAGATTAAGTTTGTCTGAACTTGTAAAATCATTACTTTTGCTTGTTTTAGGTTAATTTTTAGTAGGTAAATTAGTTCACTAAAACTGTTCCTTGTGATTGATACCCGACTGTTTGTGCTATACTATTTGCGAAAAGGTACACTGCCTTTAGTCGAATAACTAGTTAGATAGTACGTAAAATTAGGTGTAGTAATAATTCGACATCAAGTTTTTGGCGCCGTTGTCGGGGAACGACTATTTAGCTTAAAATTTATTTTCTTTAGATTAATAGATCCTTTTGTGGGGTAAAACCCGTGAAAAGTTAAATTCTAGCATTAGATTTTGTTTAGAACTGAACTCACAACGTGAGCCCTAAAGCTCACGACGTGAATTCAGTAGTTTTACGTTTTTTTTCGTTTTTCTGCGACAACACGAGGTGGTGCTCTTTACCACGTTGTGGTGAACAGTCAGTAGGCATTTTTAAGTAGTTTTTGTTCGTTTTTACGTTCTTATTTTTGTTTTTGTTGCAGTAGTTCATGACCCATGGATACAACACACCTTTGATACCACCGCTTGAAGATCCAGAGTCAGCCCTTCACAAAAAGACGGATAAAAACGTAGGAGAAACCAACCCACCAAAGAAGTCACCATTCAAAGACCTTAAATTAGTTTTCGGAAAGAAGAAGGGGAAGAACGTGGGTGAATCAAGCAATTCCGCAAAGAACAAAAGAAAGTTAGAAAGTTTTGAGCAAAATTCGAATCTTCACGAATCCGATTCTGAAACAGAAACCGATAAAGAAGGAAGTGAAACCGAAGATGAACCAAAAAACGAGATGGAAAACATTGATGATATGTCTATGGATGTATAGATTTCGTAATTTTCAAATCAAATAACACATTAGAAGTCTCATAATACAAAATAAAATACAATAAATAAGAAAGATAATTCATTGCACTAATATATCAAATACAAATAATCATTCCAATAGTAAGTAAATGTAATACGTTGCTAATATTGCATAATATTCACTACTAGAAAAACAGCCTTTTACAACGGGCAAACCACGACACTCATTAATTTATGTTATGCAAACGAGAGTGACATTAAAAAGTGTCATTTCTTCAGAATATTTAAGGATTTAGGCCACGCATTATTGCGTGCCCTTAAATTAGTGTCATAAGAAAAAAAAATTAAAAACACGCAGGGCGCTGTATCTTAAATGTGTGTCCTCTGTAGGTGTTGCTTTATAATTTTTATGAACGCGCGTTCCTTAGTTACAAGCGGGAAAAGAAAAGCCAAAAAATTAGAAAAGCCCGCTACCCTCTTTGCCCTAAGCGTTTTGACGCATCTTTCATTCTCCTCACACTGTTGTGCAACTTCTCAATCAAAGATCCAAGGTTACGATTTCATCTCCATCTCTCGACTTCATCATCTCAATCAAGAAAAAAGGCTTCTGATTTCCATTCACCTGCTTCATCTCTGCTGTGATTTCACCTGCTTCATCTCTGTTGTTCTTGAGAATACTCGCCAACAGTGTTCTTCCACTATTACTTGACCAGCTTCTTTCCGTATTCTTTTCTCCACAATATCTTCAAAGACATTCTCACACGCTTTCTCAAAAAATCATTTTTTCTCTCTCAAGAACCCTAGCCGTCACTCACACCGCCATATTTGTAGTGTGTTCTATTCGGATGTATAGGCATCGATGAAACAAGGAACCGTGATATGGAAGGCCACCCAAGTATTAACTCTTCAAGATTCAGACCGCCAAGGGCTCATTGATTTATATTTCCCATGTTACAGTTTTTGGCCAATGTTCATCATTTTCGGGTTTCTTAATTACCCAGGTCTGGATACTTTGGTATTTCTTTGATTTCCTTTTCCTTTTTTACTGATTTTTATTTATGGGTTATCTCCACATCTGCTAGATCGTACCACGACCACGACCGCCACACACTCTTCCAAGTTCCAACCGTTGCCGCCCCCAACACCCCATTTACATCGGACCACCAACACCACCACAAACAAAGGTTCAAATTCCTCTTTCTCACAAGCTGGAAGACCAAAAGAAGTTTTTTGGTCAATTTTGCAAACTAAGGGTTTATTTGCATTCCAATTTCCGTTGAACAAGTCGGTAGTTTCTCCATTTATCTCTTCTATTTCAGTTTTTCTCAAATTAGGGCTTGCCAACTGTATGATGAAATGCCTGAGAGAAAAATTACAACCAAAAGTGCATTTTGATTCCCTTTAAAACACTTCAACTAACTATAGATTAAATTGTCATGTAGTTATGAGATCTTACATTTTCTTTTTGAGTGTTAATATATACGACATACATATTAAGGTTTATTATAAATGGTTTTGGCTAAAGTTTGCATTTTTTTATTTGCTCAAATATATGGCCTTTAACTTTCCATTTAGGAGATTTTTTTAACACAAACCCACAAATTTCCAGCTCATTATATAATGAATTGTGTGTTAATAACTTCATATGTACTAGACTGGAGCCATTAGTCTAATTTATTTATGGAATTTTGTAAAATGTTCATATGTGGGAAATATTAACTAGAGGCATGAAAATGTATGAACTAGCTCTGCACGAGTGCAGTTGTAAGTTCTTTACCAATATGGTGATTTTCTTCGTTTAATTGGAAATAAGTTGAAAAACACAACTGTTATAACTTGGTTCTTATGATGCTCTATGTAGGATCTGGTGGTGAAGATAAAGAGTCAATGTTGCTCAGAAGCTATATTCATGAATTTTTGGTGATCCTTTTGTCGACTTTGTATACACAAACCGCACAGAAAATATCAATCAACCAATTGCCAAACACATACAATTCTACCAAAGTTGTTTCATTGTATTTTTAAACAAAAGACTTCTTCTAGCAAAATGTGTTCTTGTAGAATATTGGAGCAAGAAATATTATCCAAGAATCCATTTTGCAATTCACTTACATTGATTTGTTTATTATATTATCCTAATTTCACCTCTTCCTATTAAGGAACTGTTGTTTGAAACGTCTACCAAGTTTTAGCAATATCATCCAAATACACAGCAATTAAAAGTTTCAAAATGTGTTGCTTTAATAAGAAAACACTTGGGAAGTACAACTCTATAATTGTAATATTTTTTGAAGCACAATGCTTTAATAAAAACAAATGAAAGTTGGATACTACAATGTATAAGTAAAAGAAAGCATGTTGCTATTTCTTGCATTTATTCTTATAATAGTTTGTGTTTCTATTCATATTAACTGACCATATTACCCTTGTGGAAGTTAACTTTTGTATCATTAGTGATCTGAACTTGGTTCTATGTAATGTGCAGAAAAGGCAAACTGCTCTCTTTTCTGCAACTCAAACAAAGAAGGTAAAACCTTTTTTCATACACATTTGTATATTTTAACTGTTTATTTCATTGTTTAAATTAAATCATGATAATATTTATTTATTTATACACTTGTTTCTCAGGTTGAGGATCTTGCATGCCTATCATTTCAAACTACTCCAGTGTACATTGATGTAGATGATGGGAGAATAAGAGTAAGTAAAATATTATCTTTTTTGTTCACTATATTTTTTGAGTTTTCAATTAGAAGTTATGTTTATACTTTATAATATGATATTGTAGGTGACAAATGAAGGATTGCAACAAGGGTATTGTGTGGTCCCAAGTGCAACAAGAAAGAACCATTCTTCAGGGTTTATAATATTACATTCCAGTTCCACTCTGCTGATAGATAGCTATATGTGTGTGTGTGTTTGTGTGTGTTTGCGTGCCCAAACTTATTCCTTGCTTTCTTTTGATTTTTCTTCACAATAAGTGCACATATGTAAGTATACATGCATACATTACACACAAATGTGTATATATACACACATTTAATATCATATCATATACATAAAAAGACATCCTACTAAGCGTATGTCTTCAGCACTTGAGAATTGATACTCTCAATCTTTTGTTAGATTTGTTGATTATTTAACTTGTAATAATCTGACCTCTGATAAATTGGCTAAAGGGCTGTTTCTTTTTTTACATAATGGGCTTAGAACTTAATCTGGTTCTTTCTGATTTAATGTGGACAGAACAACTAAATGAGTTAAGCCAAATAACTTGGCTTGATGTATTAAGACACCAGCCCTTTACCTATTTACCCTTCTTTTTTCCTCCCAACTTAATGGTAAGCAAATAGACATGTTGACTTGGTCAATAAAAAAGAAGTCCTAAAGATTTTATTGGCTAGTAAATACCCTTTGAAACTAAGTCTATTATTGGTGAAGGTGTGGTGTAATTTTGTTGTTGGCCATCTACATGGGATTGACATATGGATTGTACGTTGCAGATCCCTATTCTGCAAATAATAATAATAATAATAATAATAATAACATAACATAATGCTAAAATACCAAAGGTTTCAAGAAAGTTACACTTGGGTAGCAACTCGTCACTAAATTCCTAACACTCAACTTCATGTAGCCCGAAATGCCCCTGCCTCCTAACCATGCAAGTCCTGTAGTTTTCCTTTCCTACAAGGCAAATAATCATATTAATTCCACAAAAACCTCTAATTTTTTCCTATATATATATATATATATATATATATATATATATATATATATATATATATATATATATATATATATATATATATACCATAAAGGGAGACACAAAAGAATATTCTAGAATATAATGGCCAACACTAGTCAAGAGGACCACAGACTTAGCTAAGGCAGGCCACAAGCCAGCAACAATAGCTACAAAATAGCCTGTACACATGGCAATTAGAAAAGATTATCATTATAATTTATAGAATTAAAAAAAAAGTTTATAAAAGATTGAGAAAAAAACTTCGAATGAGTTCCTAACAAGATGAACTGGTTCCCTAATAACATCAACTATAAAATCTCTTATAAACTTAGCCCACAGAAGTTCAGTGTATATAAAATTTGGTTTCACTGATCTTTCAAATCCTAAAAGTGTAATGGCCCAAACATGATTGCCATTTTCAGCTATATTCTTAATATTATCACGATAATGCTCCAAAAAATCACCAAAACCATTCACAAGAAGAATTGCAGGACCTTCACATCCCACAGCAGCATACTGAAAAAGTTGAAGAAAACTTGACCCAAAAGTCAGCTTGAGGAGTCTCAATTGAACCTACAACAACTACCTGAAGGATATATATATATATATATATATATATATATATATATATATATATATATATATATATATATATATATATATATATATATATATATATGTTGGTTTTTTTTTTTAAAATAAAGATATTTACTATAAAAACTAACCAGCCCAACAACAGCAGATATGAGGAATTTCACCCAGTCCATAGGGGTCAAACTAGGATTATTCTTTTCCGGCTGTCAATAAATACATAGAAAATTAAAAATATTTTCAATTTGTATAATAAAAATCCAATAAAAAATAAAAGAAACCTACTAGGACTATTTCCATATCTGCCATTGGGATGTTTTTGAAATGCTTCACATGGAATCCCCTTTCCTTTTCTCCTTTGGTGCTTGCTCGTCTTCATATCGATCATTATATTATTGTGGTTTTAACATTATATTTATACATCATACATGTACAAACACAAAGAAAAAAAAAGGATTTAAAAATAATATTTAATTAAAAAGAAGTAAAAATACCTGTAAACGACAATTATTCTATCAAATGTAGGTTCTTGTATTGTGATCTTACTCATCAAACTCCGTAAACTGATATTTAAGTTCTCAATCTGGACCCTTTCAACATACATATCACCTGGAAATTGGTCATTTGTAATTTCATCATCTTTCTTTTGATCATTCATAACTCGTGCACTGGGTTTTTTTTAGAAAAAAGCTTTTCTGTCCTGCAACCATAATCAGGAATTGGACATCAACAAACTCTCTATATAAATAACTAAAATTTGTAAGCAAACTTACCTTGTTATTCTCATAATCCATCCCCATAAATGGGAGATAATCATGTCCACTTTCTCCATGATGAAGTAATCAGTAGTCTTATCAAGTCCAATGCCTCTCCGGAATATCACATACTACAGAAAAAATAATCGTATAAACAATAAGATCAAACATAGTTTTTGTATTCATAGTGATGTACATAGTATGAAGCATCAAAAAGACTAATGTATCCATGAACCTTATCAGCAAAGTCGGGAAGGTTATCATGGTGATGTTCTGCAAAGTACCGCTTCAAAAGATCTTTATCAATCTACATTTTGAAGGGTAAAACAGGAAAAGGAGAAGATATGTTATCAGACATGAAGACAATGATAATGGCAATTAAGGGAGGTATGTATGAGTATGATGTATGACTGCATCAAACCTTTGATTCATCCACTGTGATAACAAGGTTTAAAAGAGACTGCCCAGATTGTGCAACATCAATCTCCTCATTGGAGCAGATCTTGCTACATATATGACAGAAAATTCTGTTCAAGAACATCAATTTCTTGTTATGATAGGTTCTGCTGCTCCAACTTCCGAGCCCATGGAACAGGATCAAAGAGGGAATATAATTGCTGCAAGTATGTCTACCCATTTAAATTAAAATATTGTTTTGGGTTTTGAAAGTTAATGCGTTCCACTTTCTAACGTCATGCTTGATATGAAATTATGAATCAGCTTGTTAAAATATTAATAAAATCATTGAAATTTTCATCAGAAGTTTACATTTGACTTTATCTTAATGTCAAACATACACTTTCCATATAGATGATTCATATAGATTTTTTTAACATCTAGCAACTTGCAAGAATTTAGTAATAGAAAAACTTGCATCTCTTTTTTTCAACAAACACATATGAACATTGAACAAAACTTTAATGCTACAAAAAACAGAAAAGGTCATATGAACAAAATCTACTTCAAATTAATCGAAGAACATCAGGGTTTTATTCCAATTAGGGTTTATCCAAAAATAAGCCCCATTAAAATCAGAACAATTTCTACTTATACTACAATTTACTAAATCCACTATGTTCATAAGTTTCCACTTAAAAAACTCAAACATATACTTGGAACTATCATCATCGACTTCAATAATGTTATATATAATCCAAAATAGCTGAAGTATTAATCAGATCTAACAAATCTATTCTAATTCCTCCTACCAACAATTATTGTCATCATCGATGAAAATACATAAACATCCAACAAAAAATCGATGTATAAAGATGAATACATGTGAAGTCACAGAAGAATGCACTGTACCTTACATTATAAGCATTCAAATCAAATGTAAATGATGTTCATAACTCTCAATCACAAGTACTAGAATACGTAAGTTGTGAATGTTGTGGATTCACGGAAGAATGCACCTTACCTTACATTTCTCAGATTTGGGGATAGTACAATGGCAAATGGATTTGCGGCCTGTGTGTGGAGGCCGTCAAGTATGATATTTTGAAATCGGAGAATCTTATAACCACCGGAGAAGCATTTGAGAGACACATTTCTTTCTACGATAATTTCAAATCATATTTCAGGCTTCCGTTCAGTAACGCAGTCGCAGACCATCCTATATTGGCGATGGGGAAAATTATGAAGAGACGATTAGATTCTCCTTCTCCGAGAGGAAACCGATCAGCTCCAACCAGCCTTGACCGGAGTTGAGTCGATGAAGACGTCATTTATCTTAAAGGCTGAGGTATAAAAGTGTTGATGGAAGAAGGTCGATTGTAAGGACGTGGAGGGAAGGAGGAGATATTCCCAAGTTCGATTCGGTATTACTTGTGTGGTTTCATCAGACGCAACAGTGTTGATGTCGATTTCATCAGATGCACTCCGAACTCTTAGAGCTGATGGGGTTCGATGCTGGTGGTGGCTGTTAGGGCTTCCAAAGAGAAGGGATAGAGAGTGTAGAGGTAGAGGAAGAAGGGCTGCTTCAAAAGGATTGACAACCTACAATTCTATTAGGATTCGATGATTTTAGAAAGAGAAGAAGGAGATACAAAGGCGGGGGTGTTTAATTTTTTGTGATTTCATTTCCCCCCATAGTCTATTAAAAAAAATGGAGAACGCGCCTTTCTAAAAAAATATAAAACGACACCTTTAGAGGACACGATTTTTATGATAGGTGCCTTCCGTGTTTTTTTTGTTGGACACTAATTTAGGGCACGCACAAATGTGTGTCCTCTATCCTTCAGCTTTTGGAAACCTGACATTATTTTTTGGACACACAAAAAATGCGTCTCATAAATATATGTGTGTCATTGTTTGCGTGTCATTAAAGGGCTATTTTCTAGTAGTGCAAGATAAATGGTACTTATAAGATTTAATTGTAATGTGCCGCCAAAGTAAGCAATCTTGAGGAATAAGGACCAAAAGCGACAAGGATCGGAACTTTGGAGGATTGGAGCTTAAAAGATGAGCATTCCAGCCAAAAGATGACCTCACGGCGTGAGGAGTCATACCTCACGACATGACTGTTAAGCTTCTAGAAGATAAGCTTCTGGAGGCCAGAGTCCGTGTTCGATACGGATATTGACTGAGCTCACGACGTGAGAAGCCTTGCCTCACGACGTAGGCAGGGTAATTTTCAAATTCTATATACATACTTAGTGTTTATGAATTTGAGGAGACTTCTGGAGATTAAGAAGGTTAGAAGACGATTTCTGGAGGAGTTTAAGGCAGAGAAATCAAGCATTAACATCCAAGGAAGAAGAAGTGGTCATAAAACTTTTACCTTTAGTTGGTACATTCAATCATGTTTTTATTTATTAAGTTTGTGTGTTTGAATTCAGCCATGAGTAGCTGAATCTAGCTACTTCTGCTTAGCTGGATGAAACTTCAACTCGTGGTTTAGTTATTTAGTTATGAATTTTTCTAATTGGTAAATTGCTTGTGTTTGATTGTTAATACCTTGCATGCTAATATTTGATACTTAAATTGCTTGAAATCATGTTTCTGTGTAGCTTAGTGAATATTGAATTGCATGAACTTGATACCTAGTAATTTAGTGACCATTAAAGTACTAAAGCTAGGATCGAACCAACCTTTGATAAGTAATTAAAGTTATTAAATTTGGCTATGCTGGAGAACATATATTGTGACTATAATTGTGTGTGTGTTTAATCAGTCTTACATAGCTCCATTCAATATTCATAATTGATTATGTGTTAAATTATGTATGACCATGCATAGTTTTACATGAATTAGTTAAACATTAGTATATTTGGACTTAAATTGTCAATAATATAAATATCGGTAACCAACGTGAATTATCCATAATTAGTAGCTCACCATTGAGGAGAAGTGAATTCAAATTTGATAGAGGTGTTTTTAGTCATTGATTGAATTGAATTTAATAAATAGAAGATTAAGTTTGTCTGAACTTGTAAAATCAGATAAAAAACCAAATTACTTTTTCTTGTTTTAGGTTAATTTTTAGTAGGTAAAATAGTTAACTAAAACTGTTCCCTGTGATCGATACCCGACTGTTTATGCCATACTATTTGCGAAAAGGTACACTGTCACACCCCCAAACCGGAACGGCGGAAACGTTCGGGGGCGGAGGACGTCATGTTTAGTATCACAACACATGCATCATAGTAATCAAAGTAACAAGCAACCATTGTATTAACATTAAAGTGTTTACAAAGTATGTGATTCACATACCATTGACTTCAAAAGTAAATAACAAAACAAGACATGAAGCTAGTATGCTCCATCTTCTAAATCCCAGTGCGCGTACCTATCTACTAGTTTCCTGAGAATACAAGTTATTTTGAAAGCGTAGATCAGCATTTAAGCTGGTGAGTTCATAAGTATTTTAGTGATGTAAAGTAAGTTGAAAGTTCTTTTAGAAAAGTTCACATGTTCCTCCAGAAAATCCTATATCTTCTGATATGATGAATGAAAGTAAAAATGACTCTACAATCCCTTCTATGAGTACTAAATGGATACAAGTTATATAAAATCCAGATCAAACAGACAATCGATTGTGTGAATCTGCCCTAACCCCACAACCAAACAAGGAACATGGAATGAGGCGGAAGTCACACATCCCATTGTTTGTTAGATCTTCACTGTATATAACCCTGGTGTATTCATTTGGTACTCACGGAGTTAACTGTAATAATTCCTTATATTTGATGAAAACATCCTTTAAGAAAAACCCTTATTTCCTTTAGTAAAAATGGTAACCACAATAGTTCCTTCTATAATCACTTACTTTATACAAGCTATATATAATCTAATATCGAACGGATAGTTAATTGTGTGAATCTGCCCTAAGCCCACAACCAAACAAGGAACAGGAAGTAAGGCGGAAAGCACACATCCAACTACCTATCGGATATTAATTATATATAACCCTGATGTATAAACTAAGGTATTACAGAATTAACCACTAAAGGTCCTTTAAGTTATACTGGTTTAATAAAATGAATTAAACTCTTTTACTGATAAGTTTCTAGTTTAGCCTACTAAATGTTCTATCTGAAAAGTATGTTTTTGTACTAGAAAACGGTGTATTGAATTTGTATACTATGACCTGACCCATACCTGGTACTCCTTATGATTTCTGGGTGTATACGGAATATATATATATATATATAGCTAAGATCGAATAGATAGTAGGATGGATGAATCTACTCTAAGCCCACAACCAAACAAGGAACAGGAAATGAAGCGGAAGGCACACATCCTACTATCTGCCGGACCCGATTAATATATATCCCTGATGTATCTACCGAGGAATCATAAAGTTAGCAATATAGGCCCCCTTCTAACTGAATGTTCTTGTTACGAGTAAGTTATGTGGCGTTGTTCTATTGTTTGGATGACTACTAGAAGTAATGAAATCCTGCACTCATAACGCCTCAGTTGATACTGTTGTGAGTTCTTGTATATATTTATGGGTTTTATTTATTATTGTCCGGTACTTTGTAGATGTACCCTTTATAAATAAATCCGGTATTTTGTAGATGTACCCCATATATATATATATATATATATATATATATATATATTATATCTATATATATATATATATATATATATATATATATAAATCGTGGCACTTTGTAGGTGCACCATATATATATATATATATATATATATATATATATATATATATATATATATATATATATATATATATATAACCTTATACCATGTGTATTATCATCTTTTGTTTAGAACAATGAGTTAATGATACGTTCCCTTCCTAGGTTACTGGGAATATATAGTATAAGTATGTAAATCATGATTTGTTCTTCTGTTATAGTTATAGTATGTTCCTCCCTGTACTAGTTATAGTATGTTCCTCCCTGTACTAGTTTTAGTATGTTCCTCCCTGTACTAGTTTTAGTATGTTCCTCCTTGTACTAGCTATAGTATGAACTGAACCCCTAAACTATACCTATTATAGTTTACTAGTATGTTTACTTGAACTGATACTGACTTGAAGAAAAGACTCATTTATCTACTGAGTTATGATTGTATTTTAAAAACAAAGTTTTATAAACAACAATGAGACATAACTTTAAAAGAGTTTTTTTTTAAATGATTTGATCATTTATAAAAGCATAAGAAATCCTTTAATGTGATGGTTATCACAGATAAACGTTTACACAATTATCATTGTGTTCAACTTGTCTTCCCCCCCCCCCTTAAAAGAATTTAAAACATTTAAAAGATTAATTAGGGGTATGAACTCACCTTATGTAGGTGATTCAATTGAAGGTTCACGTAAGAATGAGAAGTTCCACGAATGAATTCCCGAGACACAAACGAGTCCTAAATGACATATAATGGCATATATAGGCATGTAATTAGTGTTTATAACAACTAACATGGAAGGAAACAACCTTAGGGACTAGGAAACACTTGGAATGAAGTGTTAAAATCACATGTGATTGATCAAAGGGAGTTCACGGCCCAAGGAAAGTGTTCATGGCCCAAATGAATGGTTCACGACCCAATGGATTTCACGGTCCATCTTGATGAGTGGTTCACGGCCATGCATGAACTTATGAAGGGTTCACGGCCCTATAAAGGGTTCACAGCCGTGAACACTTCAAGCTCATGAAGATGGTGATGAAAGTGGTGAATCTAAGGTGTAAAGAAAGGGGGTTTCAAGCATAGACAAGAATAGATGTGTTACTAACCTTCTTGGGGATGATATAAGAGTTCTTGGTGGATGATACTTAAGAGAGTTTGAGAGAGTTTGCGGCCAAGGGGGAAAGAAATGAAGAAAAGTGAAGTGATCTTATATATATATATATATAGGGGAAAATAACACGGCCAGAAGAGAGTTCACGGCCGTGAACTAGGTTTGCGGCCGTGAACCTCAAGTGTTGGGTTCTCTGGTTCGGGTGAAGCCTTATAATCTCGAGCCAATACTTCCTAACACTCAATCCTTAAGTGTGCTAGGCTTAGAACTCCTTAGAATGACCCTTTAATAATGCTAGAAGGCAATGGAATTTAGTCTAACTTTTGGTTGGTTGGCTGGATTTACAAGGTAAAAAAATTTTGGGTTGTCACATACAATGCCTTTAATCGAATAGCTAGTTAGATAGTAAGTAAAATTAGGTGTAGTAATAATTCGACATCATCTATCTTTTCAATGTCCTGAATCAAATATAGTTATGTAGATTCTTGATGATAGTGATGTTAGATATTTTCT